GTGTGTGTGTGTGTGTGTGTACCTGATATAGTGACCAGAACGTTCAGTCCCTCCAGGACGTCCATCTGCTGAAAGCGCCGTCGGCTGATAAGAGGGTAAACTTTCCCCTGACCGCTCCGATCCAACAGCATCAGCCCGCTCTCTGTTCCGACCAATAGGTTCACTCCTACACACGGAGACACATGTTTAGGAAAACCCAAACAAAACTGACCACAGCTGGAAACACTCAGCAGTCTGGTCGTCATCACAGTACAGACTTATTGGTGCCTTGCTGCCCCCAGGTGGTGAAGATTGTAATAGTAAGAATCACTTGGTATTTTATGATTCTTGACTAAGACTGGAGGAACTGTCTGACAGTTTTTGGGACATTTGCTTCTTGCATCCTGTCACAGCTCTGCCTCTGTCCCATGCGAAGAAGTGCACAGACTAAAGAGAATCGTGTTGAGATGTTTTATCATTTGATGACGGTCGTATCACCACGCCACTAATCAACAGTGTCTCTCCGTTCTTACCCCAGAGCGCGGCACACAGGATCTCCGAGTTGAACCTCTTCTTGTATTTGCGGATCTCTGGCGTGTCGCTCTGAGGGCGAGTGTTGACCGGGTTGACGTTGACCACGGAGCCCTTCCGAGATGGGTCGGCCCGCAGCGCCTCTGCCAGCCGGGCGTCATTTGCGTAACCTAGAAGGTCAAAGGGAGGGGCTTAGGTAGGACGGTGTAGGATGTAGAGTTTACCAGGCAGGGGAGGGGGGAGGGGGGGGGCAGTGAAATGGTCCAGTATTAGAAAGATTGGTGGAGCGCCTTCTTTTTGATTTGTTAATCAAAGCTCAGAGAAGAAGCTTTGTTATATGTAAAGTGGGACATAAAACAAGCAGCACAACGTCCGAACGTCTCTAAAGCCAAGGCAACATTTCCTCTTGGCCAATGCTCGTCTCTTCATCTGTAGGAAAATCTAAACCCTTCTAATCAGTGACTAAGTGCACGTTGAGCAAAGTCAAAATAGTGAAGGGGCAGCAGCAGGTCACCAGCTGCGGTAATGATTCAGCACATGGGTGGACAATTTTCTACGCTATCCACACTAACTGCTGCTGTTTTACACACACACAGGATCTCTACAGCCGGTTCCTCCCTTTTCTTCTGCATTCGTCGTTCAGCAGGATTACGCACAAACTACTCAACCCACAGATCCCGGAATTTCTGGCGTTTTTCAACGTTTCGTTTCTCGTGGAATAATTCGTGGACTGTCATTACGAAAATCAGGCACATGATTACAGTGGATCATGTGCCTGATGATATCTATGAGTGTGTGATATTCAGAGAAGCAGCTTTATAATGGGATTGTTGGGCCTGAGCGCTCTGAGTCCCATCCTAATTTTAATATGATTCATTATCCGCAGCTTCAAAGTTCTGGGGATGAGTTTCTACCTTTTTTTCCCAGGAGCCACTTGGGGACAGTGACGTCACGCACTGGTTTGTGTGTGAAACTAGAAGTAACCATATTTGGATAAGTGGGGGGGGGGACTTTTAATGGACCATAATTTACAAAATGAAAGACTTTAAACTAGAGATTGAGACATAAACTCCTGACGTTATAAATCAAATGAGAAGTCAAATCATTTTCTCATCGCCCTCTGCTGGTCCTTTTGAGATAACACAGGTCTACGTTTTTATCTATGGAAGGAACATACCGACATTGTTGAGGGCACTGCCAGTGGATGGAGAGACTTGGAGGAGGCGTGGGTCGATAAACGGGGTGAAGGAGGAGGAAGATTTGTGTTTCTGCATGTTGTTACTCGACTGGCTCTACAGAGAGGGAGAGAGAACATGATTCAGGGGTGATAGAACATCACAGCTCTGAATGTCATCTTGAATCAACAATGTATTTACAGCATCAGACAACGGACGAACGTTAACGACACAATGTGGTCAAACAAGTCGGCAAACTGAGGTATCTCATGGTGCATGCAAATAAAATGGGCATTCAGTCAAATCAAAAGTACGGAGGGAAAACGGCAAAACCAATGATGAAGGATAAAAACATGTAGAGAACAAAATGGGAATCATAACTTAAGTAAATTCATGGGAAACATACTTGCCGTTACGCCTCTTAACTGCCCTGTTCGCTAATCTGTTTCAGGAAAATGCGAGAATATGATGTGTTTGTTGAAAATAGGCGACATCAAGTGATAAAATGAGATTTTAGTGTTTGGGGGGGAAAAGCTAACAGGCCTGATCTCAGAAAACTCACAAGGAGAGACGGGATTAGAATTTCAGATCTTTATCTATTTTAAACCAAAGTAACTAAACCTTTGAACAATAAAATCACCAGGACGTTCACATGGCGAAAAGTAAAACCTCTTTTGTCTTCCAGTTGTTCTTCTAACAGAGCGAGAAATACATCCCTCCATCATCTGTGTGTCGGTGTGGAGCTACAGACAGCAGAGGGCGCCCTTCAAAAACTCAGGACATGAAATCCACTTCAGAATCAGCAGTTTCTCATTTGTTTTTTTAACCCTTTCTGGGTCATTATGCTTGTTTTTCAATGCTTTTGATTTCATCTTTCTTTACCGCATTAAAACTGTTAATCTTGCCAATGTTGGTTGTCTGTTTTTCCCAGCATTACATCGTCCATATTCCCAGACAATGAATTTGTTGGACCCAAAAAACACAGAAGACAAATCAAGCGATGAGCTGACTGAAGTGAGTTCTACTCTGCTGTGCTCCCACTTATAACAGGTGGTGATGATTTTGTACACTAAGCCGGTCTCCGTGTTGGGGCTGGGGGGGGG